GTGAAATTCCAATGTTGGTTTGACGTTACTTCTCCGACCAAATTTTGCAACCAAACACCAACGTCATACCAACGTCAGATATCCGACCCCGACGCTTACCGACGCTTGCCAACGTTTACCAATGTTGGGCCAACGTCGCTTTGCTAGCTGGGTTGTTGCTATTCCACCACTGTTATTATTTATCCATTTGTTTATATTGTGTTTACGGTGCTATGCAACAACTACTATGATTTCCAAGCTGCAACCTATAAGCTTTTCCAGCTTATCTATAGCTCTACTATAAGTGAGCGTTTCAGTCAGTTGTATGAGATAAAGTGAATGGGGGTTAAATCTCAACTTATATAGGTCTCCGTGGTCAAATGAATATGGCACTCGCCCTGACCGCGAGAGATTGTATCGATTCCCGCCAGTGACACTACTTTTCATACAACAGAATTTTAAAAAAACTTTCGTTGAAGGGCAATGCTTGATACGATTATACCACTTTGTTCCTATTTCATCACTGTTATTATTATTTATCTATTTGTTAAAATTGTGTTTACGGTGCTATGTGCAAAGATTATTATTTTATATGATTTTTATATGAATTTTATTTAATATGATTTCTAAACTGCAACCTATAAACTTTTCTAGCTTATCCACTATGTGTGAAGGTTTTAGTCAGTATAATGAGAGAAAGTGCATGGGTGTTAAATATACACGTATATACTATAATACGTCTCCGTAATCAATGGATATGATACTCTGATAGCGAGAGGCTGCAAGTTCGAATCCCGCCAAACATTTTATTTTCATACAACTGATTAAAAATGAGCTTTTCGTTGAAGGGCTACGATAATGTCACCTTGTTGCTATGTGAGCACTGTTATTATTATTTATTCATTTGTTTATATTGTGTTTACGGTGCTATGCAGCAAACCTTATATACGCCTATATATATATATATATATATATATATATATATAATTATATAGGATATAAGTGTGTATATATAGATATATATATATATATATGATATAAGTGTGTGTGTGTGAGTTTTTCAGACAATTTCAGTAACTATATATGTGTTAGCCCTCAAGTTGAAATGAGAACTAGTGGTCTTCAGTTCGTAATGATATCGTACGGTCCTATGTAATATTCTAAACGGTCGAGATAGCGAGATATTGCATGTTCGATTCCCACCAGAAAGAGGGAGGAGAGTCAAATATTTATCTCTATGTTGTATTATAATTCATTTAAAAAGTACATTTTCGAAGATCCCGTTTTGTCGTTTAATGCTGAAGGAGAGGGTGTAGGAGTCTGAGCGCTTCACATTACCGTATTATACCCTGGTCATTGGATTAAACGCCTATGGAACACAAACCAAGCTCCCTGAGGCAGTATTCCATAACGTTGCAGCAGCTACATCAGTGCATTTTGGCATTTAACCCTACCAGGTACCCATTTATGCAGTGGAGAGAAACAATGCAGATAAAATGCCTTGCCCAAGTGGAATGCACAACGGGGGGATTGAAAGCCCGACCTTAAGGTTGGGAAACCAAACTGTTCCTACTGCGCCAAACCACTTCCACGATATTAGATATATATTATCGATAATATACTGCTAATACCTTACGATACTGCTTCCAATCGACGTGAAAGGGTATGCAATCTTTGGATTTATGTTGTGTTTTTGCAGCTGCGATAATACTCCGAGATAAGTTTCCTTCGAGTTTTTACGGAGTTTGGAGAGCCAAATAATTGATTGGTCATAAACTTTAAACCTATTCACCATTTCTTCAAAACATGGATTCGATGAATTTTCTAAACAAGAGGTGGCAATCCGTGAAAGTTCAAGATTTAATGAAACAAAGTCGTGTCTGTATCCAACGTCTTTTTCGAATCCTAAAATGGGAGCGATGTTTGAACGCAATACAAACTCATGTGAATCGATTTCGGATCCACAAGAGCTTTTGAGTAGGATGCCAGAATTTCCAATGACTGCACAAGACCGTTTTTTCGGAACTGTTGAAAATATCTTTGGAACTTCTTTCCATTTTGCATTTTGAATCAAAGTAATTGACAGTGCTTTAAAGTCATCTCTTGATTGTTCTTGATTTTTTCTCCTCTTTATTTGTTGCCTTCGTTGTTTCGTTTTTAGTTTCTTTTTTTTCATTGTTTGGTTTTCAATCAAAATGACAAGTTTGTGTGGAAGACGACGTCTCAACGAGTACAATCTAAAAATAGAATTGATAATTAATTAATGCATAGCAATTCAACAATAAAAATCTCCTGTCGTGCCATGCCATTACTTTATCTTGTATCATCCTTTTCATCTCGTCCTAGTGGCCATAGCCCTACAAACACAACACGCCAATAAGGAAAACAACGTTAGCAAAACGTTACTTATAAAATTCTAATAGGTCTACAATTGTTGTAAACTGCAACTTTATAATCGTATTAACGTTATTAATACATAAATTTGAAATTTGTTAGCTAGGAAACTTGTACACTTTCAGTTGATCTAACTTTATATATAGAATAAATGTAGACATCAATCAGCCATAGGCCTACGCCTAGTTGTAGTTGCAGTCTGTTGATCTTTAGTTGATGACCTTTTAAAACCTCCTTAATTCTGTGCGAAATTTTGGCACGTGTAAACCACCGAACGCGGGAGATACAGTACAGTCAAAATGGATTCCAGTGGGGAGAATACTGTTGATGTTGGCCTTCGAGGAGTGCATCCTCAATTTCCAAAGGAACGGGGTAATTATATGGTTTTTGAAGTATTACTATTAATATTGTGTATGAAAGTTTCCTTATTTTATATAATCAGTGACATATAATTAAAATTTAAATAGGTCGACCTGGGCTAGGTACCGGCACTTGATTGATATAGGCCGGTTGGTGGTTAAGCTTTAATATTTCATTTACCGTATATGGACAGGGCCCCTGCCAGCAGGAGCGGATCCAGAGATGTGCGACAGGGGAACCGAAAATGGGGCCGATCGAAATAACACCGCCCTAAGGGGAGGTCCGCGAAATATTTGTTTTCTAGACAGGCGTTCGAATGTAACCTCTGAGGCGTTTTGGGCGATCAATTTTTTCCCCTTTTTTTAACTTCCTAAAATGGTGACGGGGCTGAGGACGCCCCCGGTGCTGTATAGGCTCGATCTCCCGCCCCAAAACACAAAAGCCTTTATTAAGGATCATTTAGAAATTGATAATATAATTGTACTGTCTTGTACACTTGACTTTTCACTACTGGGAACTGCAAGAAAAACATTGTTTTTGAATAACCACATACTGTAAAATTATACTCAAACTAATTAAAATTTCTGAAACAATTGTAAAACTTAAATAATAATCAAACTGAAAAATACAAAAAAGAAAGAGTATTATGTATAGTCAAGGATCGTAAAAAAGATAAAATAAATCATACTAAAACACACACAAAAAAGCTCTTTAAAAATACAGAACCCAAATAAACCACAGTGCGTACTTGGCGCTCCATACTGCGGCTGTAAACTGCAATCGAAATGCTTTCAAACAATAGGGCGCGACCACTTCTGACCCAGGTCGTATCGGCCCTTACGACCCGGCCGAATCGACTCAGGGCCGAAACGACCCGGAAACGCTAGGACTAGGCCTAGGCTTACCTTCTTTTGGGATTAAGCGATTCATCTTCGATTCACTTGTTTCATCATCTTCGATTCACTTGTTTCATCATCTTCGATTCACTTGTTTCATCATCGCCCAATTCACATGATTCATCATCGACGATTCACTTGATCATCGACGATTCACTTGATCATCGACGATTTCACTTGATCATCGACGATTCACTTGATCATCGACGATTCACTTGATCGACGAATCACTTAATTCATCATCGAATTGTTGCTTGAACGGCGTTCCATATGTTATCACATCACACAGGTTAACTACGTTTTTGTCCGTTTATACAAAAGTGTTCTAAAATAAAGATCTGTCTATGTTGAATGTCTACTTACGTTTTCTCGATTGCTGAATAACTAATGTTGAAATCGTAATTATCAGACTCATTAAACTGTTTAGACGTCCAGTAGTTTCTACAAAATAATTTGTTTACAATATTATTTTGATTTGATTTGACTTATTCAATTTAGGCAATAAAATGATGTTACAATACACATAGATACGAAATGAATATTAAAAGAATACGAATACCAAGGATTGTCAAAGGCAAACTGAATCACTGTTAAATACTCTCCTTTAACATAATTTAAAACATAAATCTATATCAATCATTTAATTATAATAATTAAGTATTTACAAAATCAAAATTAAACAAATTATAAGATTAGGCGGGAAGGAAAATAATCTTGAAAACTTTCCAAAAATAACACGGCTAGCAAACAATATGGTTTCCGGGCCGGGAGACGGGAGGGGGTGTTGGTTGCCAAGTGTTAAACTCTCAGTAAGCTCATTTGATCACTAATTAAGTAATATGTTGTCAACATTTACTGAGTGTTATTATTTGATTTAATGTAAATTTAAAGGCACACAAGGATCTAAAACATATGGTTGTATAGATTTCTCTGCCAGCTCGTATGAAGCAGAAACGTACCATTATTGAGCAGGTATGGGATAGCAGGATTCAGAATGGCTAGGAAAAGTGCGTCGTAAAATATGAATGACCATTATAGCCTACATTGTAAAATTGTTAAACTAGTACAGTAATACTGTTAATAATGATATTTAAGACTCAAACAATGCATACAAACCAAAGGTAGGCCTATTAATTACCCCTAATAAAATGAGCGAGTCTAAACGATAACAAAGGCTTCTGAAGGTCACTTCGCTGCAGTGAATATGAGCCGATTAATTTGATTGTTTTGTTGCAAAAATGTGGCTTAAGAATTCATATGCACATGACCATCATTAATTTCAAAGTGATATTTTTGTAAAATCAGTTTGGTGTAGCAGTTAGAAGAGTTTTTTCCACACTACCAGCCCCGGGTTCAAATTCCAAGGAGTACTTGTTCTTTTATTTTTTTTTATGGGGACAATAATATGCGAGGGAAATTTGTACTGAGGAGAATTATGATGTGGTTAATGGTTACATTTGTTAGCTAGGAAACTTGTACACTTTCAATTGATCTAACTACGTTTATATTTAAAATAAAAGCGATTTTTAAACCCCTTTTCAATACTAAATATTGTGCTAATATATTGATGGTAATAATGAAGCGCCATACGTGTTATTACATTACACAGGTTTACTATACGTTTTTGTCCGTTTACGCAAAAGTGTTTTAAAATAAAGATCTGTCAATGGACACATTCCTGTAACGGATAGCGCCATTATTATTATTATTATCACAGAAATGATTTCACACTTGGGTTTACTGATTTATTTGGCCGCTGCAGGGCTTCGGGAGAGTAAGGGTCTCTTTCCACCCCTCTCTTCCCCCGCCCCCACAAGCTGGATTTGGCACGGTAGGGCTTCGAAGTGTAATAAAAAATGTCGCAAAACAATTATACAAATCTGTGTTTTAAAAATGGACCAACTCTCCACATTAGCCCTACTATTCTCTCTGAGCGCCTGAAGGGCTACATTGATTTAGAATGCCAATACGTGGCTGGTTTGGATAATTCAAGGCGTGAGACTAGATAGATCGTCATTGCCATAAACCATTATTATTAATAAGTGTTGACCTACCTATTTTATATATATATATATATACTGTCTCTTATACACATCTAGATGTGTATAAGAGACAGCGTCCTAGTGGCCATAGCCCTACAAACACAACACGCCAATAAGGAAAACAACGTTAGCAAAACGTTACTTATAAAATTCTAATAGGTCTACAATTGTTGTAAACTGCAACTTTATAATCGTATTAACGTTATTAATACATAAATTTGAAATTTGTTAGCTAGGAAACTTGTACACTTTCAGTTGATCTAACTTTATATATAGAATAAATGTAGACATCAATCAGCCATAGGCCTACGCCTAGTTGTAGTTGCAGTCTGTTGATCTTTAGTTGATGACCTTTTAAAACCTCCTTAATTCTGTGCGAAATTTTGGCACGTGTAAACCACCGAACGCGGGAGATACAGTACAGTCAAAATGGATTCCAGTGGGGAGAATACTGTTGATGTTGGCCTTCGAGGAGTGCATCCTCAATTTCCAAAGGAACGGGGTAATTATATGGTTTTTGAAGTATTACTATTAATATTGTGTATGAAAGTTTCCTTATTTTATATAATCAGTGACATATAATTAAAATTTAAATAGGTCGACCTGGGCTAGGTACCGGCACTTGATTGATATAGGCCGGTTGGTGGTTAAGCTTTAATATTTCATTTACCGTATATGGACAGGGCCCCTGCCAGCAGGAGCGGATCCAGAGATGTGCGACAGGGGAACCGAAAATGGGGCCGATCGAAATAACACCGCCCTAAGGGGAGGTCCGCGAAATATTTGTTTTCTAGACAGGCGTTCGAATGTAACCTCTGAGGCGTTTTGGGCGATCAATTTTTTCCCCTTTTTTTAACTTCCTAAAATGGTGACGGGGCTGAGGACGCCCCCGGTGCTGTATAGGCTCGATCTCCCGCCCCAAAACACAAAAGCCTTTATTAAGGTAATAAATTGCAATGACATTTACATTACCAATAGCATTAACATTTACATATACTGTATATTTATATTTTTATTTGCATTAACATAATGTTCCATGTCCTATACAGATGATCCAGGCCTGATAAATAACACATTTACTATTACTCAAGCAACAACTCGTTAGAGCTGTAACTCGTCTGATCGAGTGATCATGAGTTTGTCCAATTTATATTGTAAATATAATAAGCTACATACCTATATGATGACGACGATTGATTTCTGACATTGAATGCCATTGACTTGTTTTTTTTGCACCTCATCAATGCTGCCAAATGATGATTTCTTTAAGAATAAATATAAATTGAATGAAAAGAAATGTTGTCTGATTTAAAATCTCCTAAAACGCCCATATGATCTAATTATTAAAGTAATACTGTAATTGTACATTAAGAATAAGGTAAGATATAAGCTTCAAATGTTATTCAGGGAGAAAATATTAGTTTTCTGGAATTTAGGCCTAAATTACTTTTTACTTTTATAACAATTAAACTTAGGTTTTAGAAAAAAAAAAACATTATTGTTGTCTATTTTTATCTTTGATCTATTGCATGCTAATACAGTGAGCCCCTATTCTGGGAACACATCTTTGGGACGACCAAATATGATCCTTAAGGTCCAGGGATGTTCCGTGAATAGGGATAATATTCTCCTTAGTGGGGGCTTTTGACATGCAGTTATACATTAAATTTTTCACAATTTTTAACCGATTAACCTGAGAACAAACTATAATAAAATTAAATTAGTTTGTAACAAATGGTTATTGAGTCTTTTTTCAATTTTGGAGATAGGACATAAAGTAGTGTCATCTTAATAGGGTTTAATATGGGTCAGAATATATTTATAATCAAATCATTTCACTGGCTTTATTCAATAGTAAAACCGTATAAATTTAAATTTTGTATGATTTTGTAGTATATTGGTTAACCCACATTTTATGCTTATTTTATTTTTGCTGTTTCAAACTGTTGTGTATGGCTATAAAAGCTTTTTGTTACACTATTTGTTATCATTCATTTCTGGTTTACTCAAGAACATATTGACATAGCAGTATTAAATCACTGAATTGCGTCAATTTACAATACGGTAGCAGTTTCACATTCAGAAATCATAAAACATACTTTAACAGTGTATTTGTACTTTAGGGCTGTACCATTTTGCAAAATGGTAAAATTATAAATTATTTTCTTTTTTCATTTCATTTCTTTATTCACGAGCGCCAAAAATATGCCAATCAGTGAACTTAATCACTGTCATTAAACGACAGGGGACGTGACAATTATAACTATGTGTATGACTGAAGTATATAATTGGGTATACTTACACATGGTAACATTTAGAAGTGAAGTCTGCAGCTAGTTTTAGATTTGAACTTGAGATATATACAAGCATTATTGTAATAATTCCCGTACAGAGGATAGCAGAGGAGAAGAGTCGAATAGTATTGAACCGTCTACCCCTTTAACAAGAAACGAAATAATGAATTATTAATATGATAATGATTATTATGATAATACTAGGTTGATTAATAAGGCAAAAAAAGCGCCACCCATTGAAACAAAATGCAAGGTGAACGTAATGAAAAAGCGGAATAACGAAAGAGATTCAAAGAACTGAAAAAAGAACAGACTATTAAAAATAACTCAAAAAAAAAAAGAAGTAAAGTAAACCACAAAAACAGAGTGGTGTAGAGAACCAAAACAATTGCACCATCATGATTCACATGTGGTTTAATTGTTTTGTCATCTAACTTGCATACCAAAAAAAAACAAACCAAAAAAAAAAAAAAAAAAAAACAGGCTAAAACCATTATTTTTCTAATTCTAGATTTAAAGAACATGATAAGCTCTTTTGGCAGTAGGGAAGATACACAATAAAATGATTTATAAATCTTGCACAATATTTATGAAACACAGATACTCACATTAGTGAAACAGTGTTATTCTCATAGGTTCCTGATTACGAAAAATAAGCTGCGTCCTTTGGTATTTATGCAGTCGACCGTACTTGTACCATAGATAAAATAGGAAAAAAAGGTAAAAGTGGTGCGTTGGCCATTTTGAAATTCAAAATTGCAGCTGATGACATGCATTAAAAAAATGTCACCTACATTTTTTTAATTGAGCATACCAAAAATGAAAAACTTTGCCAATAAAATCCATTTTGGCATAAATACCTAGCTAGATTA